TTTGGATATAGAGTAATGTATGTAAGATTTGTGTCACGCTGTCCGTTGCACTCTCTATTCCCTCAGTCTAATAGCTCAATCAAAGCGACGGTAATCCGACACGACCATAGAGAGTTCAGGCGCAGGAGCAACGGATTTATGTGCTTTCTGAGCCATGGGGAAAACAAATCGCCAACTACAAATTTTTAATTTGTAGTTGGCGATTGGCCGTCCGCCCCGCGCGAGTGATTCTCGCCTGACCTGTTCGCGAATTAAATGTCACTATTTTTTACGACCGCTCGAGACAAACAGACAGAGCTACATTCAAATAAAAGATATTCTCAAAAGACTCAAAGAATTCAAAATTTTATTTTGTTAAAAGAAAATTATTAAAATTAAAAATAAAGCCTGAAAATAAAGCTTAAAAATGTGAATATCAAAAAAAAAATAGTATTTATTTTTTATTTCGAGTTTTACAAGAAAAGTGTAATACTTACTGGAGACAATTATTTTATATTATAATAGTACATGATATTCCCCTTAAAATGACACCAATATCAATAACATCTTATATACCCAATATACATAAGTATATAATGTTTACCCAATATAAATTTGAATAAATAAGTAAATAAATGAAAAAAAAATTGGTTTTAATAATTTCTAGACACATCTCAACAGATATTTCGTTTATAAATTGCTATCAACGTGTTTATAGTGAATCATTATTTTATATTTTGCATTCATTTAACACAAAAAACTGAATAGAATACATTTTTAACGACATATAATCAATAAACGATAATCGTGTATAGTGATTATAGAGCACAAACTATATAGAAACACTACGCGTTCAGACGGACGCATATATATTAGTCTATGGACGGACGTCTCTGGTACATTTAGTTTGGACAGTAGAGCAAATCAGAACATGACATTTCGAATTTTTTTAAATATGAATTGAATATAGGCAAGGGAATAATTTTATTTCAGCCTAGTATAATTATATATATATATATATATAGGTTATACCTATATAATATTTTTATATTTATAATTTTAATTACTATTTTTATTATTATTATTTTATTATGAAGGAGGATTCGTAGAAATAAAATGCCTTGTATATATTATTTATTATATGATTTATTTTTTTAACTATTTTAAACAATTGTTTAAGGTTTTTTTTTTGGATTGGCAATGTACACTTTTCGATTCTAATGATGTCCGTGCCTTTCAGAAACCCATATTATGTGGTACATGCTATAGAGTAAACATATAATTGCTCTCTTGCTGCTTGCACTTAAATATTTTCAGTGAAAAGGTTCTCTTCAATACTGTGCCGGACGGGCGTAGCTCTCCGGAGTAAATGTTGTCGGAGATACCCCGCGAGTCGCTCACGTCCTACACCTGTAGGTTCCAGACTCCTCCAACTGCCGTCTTTCACTGCCGTCTCTTTGGTTGCTGCGGATAAACTGTGGACTGAGGTTCAAAATTAAAATGCACGATTTGTAAATTAAAATAGCAAGGGAGTGGCCAGCGGATCGACTAATTAATTTGTCGCGAGATTTTACACTGTTATTTATTTATCACTATTTTTCAACTATGATTGTTCACTATATATTTTAAAACACAGATTTAATTAAACACACAGTAATATTAAAATTTCTATTGGTTTTCTAAAATTTCTATTCGTATTTTTAAAATATCTGTTGGTAATATCAAATTTCTATTGGCAGTAACAAGTTTCTATTGGTATTCTCTACAATTTCTATTGGTAATTTTAAATATCTATTGAAAGTAACAAATTTCTATTGGTAGTATCCAAAATTTCTATTGGTAGCAGCTGGTTTTCTAACACTACTGACTAGCAGCTATTAATCAACTAAAATTAGTTGAATTTAAACACTTTTGTAACTGCGAATATCAGTTACCACTTTTTCCGTCTAGCTAACACTTTTCACGAAATGTAACGGCGAAATTTCCGTTACCACTTTTTTCAGCTAGCCAACACTTTTTCACTATATGTAACTGCGAATATCAGTTACCACTATTTTTGGCTAGCTGACACTATTTTTCTATGTGCAACTGAGAATTTTCAGTTGCCACTTTTTTCGACTATGTGTAACTGCGATTTTTCAGTTAAGACCTTTTTCGGCTAGCTAAACTTTTCTATTTCACTTTAACTTTTCACTGTGTTCTGCTACTAGTTACTTCAGCTACTACCGGATACTGCTGCTTGTTACTGGTAGTTCTTCCTACTACAATGTTACTATGATTTGCCCCCATAAGGTAGACTTCGGCTATACTCTATAGAGAGCCGCTTGCCAATTCCCATTTGCCTCTTTATTTTCAATCATTTTTCTTTATGCAAATGGCACAAATTGCAACTTTTCTATATAATACAAATCTTAACTCTAACATGCTATACATCATTAAATAGACATTTTTGTTCTACATTAGTATGCGATAAAGGATAATTAATATATTTACATTTAACAAAGTTATTCATTGAAATGTCCTAAACTTTTACACTAATTGGTCATATTAATTCTTTAATTATCCTATAACTTTTAAATCGTGCTTAATTATACAAAATATTTCTTTATTATAACGATCTATACATCATATGCTAACTAAATACCATATTTACAACTCTTTTCAGACATAAAATTATTCTCATTAATTTTTTGCTTAAAACTATTACGCAGTTAATTTAAATTTCCAGAAAGTTCTATAGCGCGGCGCGCTGTGATTGGTCGATATTTTCTTAAACAAAATAAAGTTGTTTAAATTAACTATTGTCAAATCGACCTTCTATACAAACATATTGAGAGTTGTAAATACATGGTGAAACTATATTTAATACATTATTTAGTCAATTTTTCCGTATTTTCATTTTTTAAACAAATAAATATTCCTTAATCACTTTCTCGTTTAAAGTCATTTTTGCCGTTGTGAACAGTCATTTTGGCCGTCTCGAACATTTCTCCCGCCGTGCAGCGTCGCGAAGACCCGTCGCAGCGGCGCTGCATAATTTCGGTGAGAGACGTTGCCTCTACTTCGGCAGCGGCACGAGTTTTCTGGTTGGCCTCTTGATTAGTCCATTCGCTGTGCGTACCTCCACAGTGCGGATCTGTCCGTCCGCCCCGGGGTATATGTTTTCAATCCTTCCTCGTGGCCAGGTGTTACGAGGTAACTGGCTGTCAGCTATGAGGACTGGATCGCCCACCTGGAGATCGGGGCCTTGACCGTGGGCCTCCCGCCGGTTTTGAAGTTCCGGCAGATATTCTTTGACCCAACGCTGCCAGAACATGTCAGCGAGTATCTGGGAGCGTCGCCAGTGTTTTTTGCTGTTCGCATCTTTTTCACTAAAAACTCCAGGTGTTGGCAGTCTCGCAGATCCTCCCAATAGGAAGTGATTTGGAGTGATGGACTCGTTGTCTTTGCTGTCTACTGAGATGTGAGTCAATGGTCTGCTGTTTACTGTATATTCCACCTCGCAGAGCAGCGTGGTCAAGACATCTTCGTGCGGATGTCTCTCATGAAGGACGGTGTATAGTGCCGTCTTCACGCATCGAACAAGCCGTTCCCACACCCCTCCCATGAAAGGCGCGGAGGGGGTTATAAATCGCCAGACTATGCCTCGTCGGCTGGCTTCTTCTCGGAAGGCCTCTCGAAGCTCCTTGTCGGCACCGTGCATATTGGTGCCGTTGTCCGAGTAAATCTCGGTGGGACATCCTCGGCGCGCTGCGAATCTTCTTAATGCCAGTATGGCAGAGTCTGCGCTGAGATCTTTCACAATTTCCAAATGTACAGCTCGTGATGTAAGGCAGGTGAAGAGCGCCACGTATCTCTTCTGATGCTGACGTCCCACTGTTACGGAGAGTGGCCCAAAATAATCCAGGCCGGTGAACGTGAACGGTCTCTGGTGATGTGCGAGACGCGTGCTGGGATGATCACCGGTGGCTGGCATGGATGGTTGTGCCTTTCTTATGCGGCACTGAACGCATTGGCTTACTATTCTTTTAGTAGTGGGTCTTAGTCTGATTACCCAGTAATGCTGTCGAACCTCGTTGATGGTTGGTTCGGTCCCGCAATGATGCAGGCTACGATGCGTCCAATCAATATACAATTGGGTGATGTGATGATCACCATCCAATATAGCTGGCCCTTTCATATCTTCAGAGACTCCTTTTACAGCGGCTATTCGACTTCGTAGCGCAATGATCCCGTCTTTCAATTGTATCTGTAGTGGTCGTAGGCGGCTATCATGGGCGACCCTCTTATCGTTACGGAGATCGGCTATCTCTTGTGTGAAGGAGTCTTCCTGGATGACATGTACCAGGAGCTTTTCGGCCTTTCTTATATATTCGGCCTCCAGTGTGATGTATTTGTTTACATCTTTGCTTTTCACCTGACTGGGAGGCTGCGCGAGACGTCGCGGATTGCACTTCGATCTCCTCCAGTCGGGGTCTTCCTCTCTATTTTTTTTTGTCCTTTTATAAAAGGTCCTGTCGGTTGTTTTGCGGCAGAGTGTTATGAATTGAAGCACTCTGGCCGTAGCTCGCACTAAGCGTTCCCATTTCGAAAATTTCGTCGGATCGGGAATGGCCTCTTTATATAGCGGAGCTCTATATCTTTCTGTGATGGTGAGAGATCTTTCTTCACCAGTAGGTTCGGATGACGTGGGTCGTTCTGTTGGCCATGCTGACGGTTCTTTGTATAGAAATGATGGGCCACTGTACCACTCGTGGTTAGAGTCGAAATTGGGTGGTACGTCCCTCGTAGCGGTGTCAGCTATATTCAATTTTGCGGGTACCCAGCGCCAGTCGTCCACTTTACTATTGTCCTCTATTGCTGCTATTAGTATTTCTTCGGCTTGCTTCTCTGGATCGGAATCTGGTTTTCTCGGATTTATCATTAAAGATTCCAGCGCGAAGTATTCGCGGAGTTGGTCATTTATATTCTCTTCGCTCGTGTACAGCTCGTTGGCCGTGTGGACGCGCTGATGCGGGGCTTTAGTGTGCGCCCCGTGTAGCACCCATCCCAGTTCTGTGAGCGAGGCTATTGGCTGGTGCGGTGGACCTCTGCGTACTTGTGTGGCTATTAAGAGTCTCCAGTTGTCTTGTCCTATCAGGATCCTAGGGTTGCCTGAATCATATGTCAATTGATCCTTTAAGCCTTTCAAATGCTTACAATTTTCTATGTCTGTTGCACGCACAGTCTGCGGCCCCAAGTTTAGGCTGGCGACCGTGCGTGCTCTGAATGGCACCCTTTTTCTATGGAGACTTTTTAGTGACACTTTGACTCTTTGGGAGTCCGGCGAATCGAGGGTAGTGTTCCCGATAGCTGTGATCTTGAATGGGTCCAACCGCCCTTTAGCTCCAATTTGATCGGCAATCTCTTGATCCATTAACGAGACTGTCGACCCATCATCCAGCAGAGCGTGTGTGTTTATTGCTCCCGCCGGTCCAATTACTCGAACTGGAATTATCTTCAAGTAAGCTTGATGCTTTGATACAGCGAATGAGTTTGCCACTGTCTCTTGAGGTTCTTTTAGTGGGCCCTCTGTCTTTTCCTTTCTATTATTATGAAGGAGTCGATTGTGTGTCGCGTTGCATCCTTTTATTCCACACTTCGTGGTTTTGCATCTGTGTGTCTGACTTCTATAACGCAGACACCGGAAACATAAATTCCTTTGCTTGGCGAGTTGCCATCTTTTATCAATATCTGCCTCTTTAAACTTGTTGCAGTCGGATCCGTAATGACCCTCTTTTTCGCACACACTGCATTTCGGAGACGGCTTAGTGGTAGCCGTGTGCGTCCTATGCACTGGACGATTATTTTGCGCTCCGCTTATGATCTCAGGAGGCGCAAATGCACTACAGTAGCGAGCTTGTTCGGTGATAAATTCACTGAAGGAACCGAGGTCTGGTCTTGAGTCATACTTTTCTGTATAAATTCTATACCACTGCGCGCGTATAGAGTTTGGCAGTTTGTCTGTGAGGTGTCGTAGCAGCTCTGCGTTAACGAGGTAATGGTCTCGCTTGAGTGCTCGAAGTGTGACGACGCTTCCCCTCACTTTGCTCGCGAATGTACAAATATCTCTGGGTGCCTCTGTACAGCGTGGCAATCCCCGTAATTTATCGGTTTCTGCTTGCGCGATTGAATCTGGACGCCCAAATTGTAGCTCCAGTTCTCGCATAATCTCATCTGGTTTAGCATGCCCGATGAGTTCCGAACTAACTGTTTCCAAGGCTCTTCCTTGTAGACTTCTTCGTAGTCTAGCAGTATTTTCTATGTCATTGAAGTAGCCTCGGGTTGTTTCATAAATGGCACGGAACGAAAGCCATTCAGTATGTGCTCCGCTAAAGCTCGGCAGTGTCATTATCGCTTTTGATGTTGCGAAAGTATTTGACGATGCACTCTCTGGTTTTGGTTTATCAGCGAGTGCGGCTATAGCGGACGTGAGCTCCGATATGAATGGTCGGAGCACCCTGTCTTCATTGCTGACAGATGCCTGGTTAGGTCTTTTTATTATGGGATTCTTGGTTGCTTCTTCCGGTTGGGGATCCTGGTAGGCGGGCTCTGATACAGCAGGTAGGAGCCCCCTGTCTTCATCAACCTTGGAGTCCTGGCAAGCCTTCTGAGGTACGGGACTCTTCGGTATATTTTCAGCATTGGGATCCTGGTAGGTGAGCTCTGATACAGCAGGTAGGAGCTCCCTTTCTTCATCAACCTTCGAATCCTTGTTTGTGAGCTTCATCGGCGGCTCACTGAGGTCGACAACCTCCGGGGGTGGCTTTGTGATGTTTTTATTAAGTGGGGCCTCCCCACCGGTGGTTGCGCCTTGCGTTGGCTTTTGTTTGGCTACAGAATTTTCGAGCCAAGATCGGACATACTCACTTTTGGAGTGACCATCCTCATCATAGTCGTCCGATTCATCATCTTCTTCAGCCATTTGTAATGAGATCTGTGCGAGTTCCAATTTTATTCTCAGCACTTCCTCACGAGCCTTCAAAACCTTTTTACTGGGCCGAGTGGTCTTCTTTGACCTTGTACTTTTATCGGTGTGGCCCCTTGGTGGCTCTTCGGCGCGGGAATATACCCGGGCTGTTGGCGGTGATGCACAGCGAATGTCATCGTTGCCTTCTATTTGTTTCCTCTGCTTCGGTGTACCAGCTTTAACAACGGCTGGCACTGGCAGGTGTACCCCCCCATCGCAGGGGCAAGCTATCTGTTCTCTCTGCTTCGGTGTACCGGCTTTAACAACGGCTGGCACAGGCAGGAGTACCCCCCCATCGCGGGGGCAAGCTGGCGCCTCAGCGCCTTCTGTTGTGGATGGTGAGCGTGGTGGCATCTGGTGGCGGACGGTGTCGGTATTGTCCGACGGTCCATCATCCAGACCGACAGTCCACGCCATGGTTCCCCTTCCTTGCGAACGAGTGATCGGCATCTTGATTCTGAAATTTCAGCAACTTTAAAACGGTAGTGATTATTTACCCGGTTCCGAAATACTAACGGATTGACGAATCCCGTTCGAATGACCAGCGTATGTGGTCCGGTGTATACGGATGATTCGGCTCAAAGGACCATAAAATGGTCCGGCTGGCAGTTCAATCGGAAGGATCCGGCTCGAAGGACCATAAAATGTGCCGGACGGGCGTAGCTCTCCGGAGTAAATGTTGTCGGAGATACCCCGCGAGTCGCTCACGTCCTACACCTGTAGGTTCCAGACTCCTCCAACTGCCGTCTTTCACTGCCGTCTCTTTGGTTGCTGCGGATAAACTGTGGACTGAGGTTCAAAATTAAAATGCACGATTTGTAAATTAAAATAGCAAGGGAGTGGCCAGCGGATCGACTAATTAATTTGTCGCGAGATTTTACACTGTTATTTATTTATCACTATTTTTCAACTATGATTGTTCACTATATATTTTAAAACACAGATTTAATTAAACACACAGTAATATTAAAATTTCTATTGGTTTTCTAAAATTTCTATTCGTATTTTTAAAATATCTGTTGGTAATATCAAATTTCTATTGGCAGTAACAAGTTTCTATTGGTATTCTCTACAATTTCTATTGGTAATTTTAAATATCTATTGAAAGTAACAAATTTCTATTGGTAGTATCCAAAATTTCTATTGGTAGCAGCTGGTTTTCTAACACTACTGACTAGCAGCTATTAATCAACTAAAATTAGTTGAATTTAAACACTTTTGTAACTGCGAATATCAGTTACCACTTTTTCCGTCTAGCTAACACTTTTCACGAAATGTAACGGCGAAATTTCCGTTACCACTTTTTTCAGCTAGCCAACACTTTTTCACTATATGTAACTGCGAATATCAGTTACCACTATTTTTGGCTAGCTGACACTATTTTTCTATGTGCAACTGAGAATTTTCAGTTGCCACTTTTTTCGACTATGTGTAACTGCGATTTTTCAGTTACGACCTTTTTCGGCTAGCTAAACTTTTCTATTTCACTTTAACTTTTCACTGTGTTCTGCTACTAGTCACTTCAGCTACTACCGGATACTGCTGCTTGTTACTGGTAGTTCTTCCTACTACAATGTTACTATGATTTGCCCCCATAAGGTAGACTTCGGCTATACTCTATAGAGAGCCGCTTGCCAATTCCCATTTGCCTCTTTATTTTCAATCATTTTTCTTTATGCAAATGGCACAAATTGCAACTTTTCTATATAATACAAATCTTAACTCTAACATGCTATACATCATTAAATAGACATTTTTGTTCTACATTAGTATGCGATAAAGGATAATTAATATATTTACATTTAACAAAGTTATTCATTGAAATGTCCTAAACTTTTACACTAATTGGTCATATTAATTCTTTAATTATCCTATAACTTTTAAATCGTGCTTAATTATACAAAATATTTCTTTATTATAACGATCTATACATCATATGCTAACTAAATACCATATTTACAACTCTTTTCAGACATAAAATTATTCTCATTAATTTTTTGCTTAAAACTATTACGCAGTTAATTTAAATTTCCAGAAAGTTCTATAGCGCGGCGCGCTGTGATTGGTCGATATTTTCTTAAACAAAATAAAGTTGTTTAAATTAACTATTGTCAAATCGACCTTCTATACAAACATATTGAGAGTTGTAAATACATGGTGAAACTATATTTAATACATTATTTAGTCAATTTTTCCGTATTTTCATTTTTTAAACAAATAAATATTCCTTAATCACTTTCTCGTTTAAAGTCATTTTTGCCGTTGTGAACAGTCATTTTGGCCGTCTCGAACAAATACATTCAATATCCAGTGTATTGAGCTGGAAAAAGGAATATTTAAATATATAAATTACAAGTTTAATATATAATTGTAATTGTTGTTGTTTATAAATGTTTGCATAGAAAATGTCAAGACAAGAAGAGGCCATTGTAATCAGATAAAGTTACTTTCACATAAATCTAAGAAGCTTTCACAATTATACAGAAATTTCCAATAATTTTTGAACATAATTATCATTGATACCTAAGATAATTAAGTACACTGTAGCAATTTTTGATAGAAGGTTGGGAGGATAAAAGTATATTTTGTAAAGTAGCCAATTATCTATTGGAGTCTATGTTCATGTTCTACTGCTGGGCACAGACTGTCTCATTTCTCAGAGGGGTATGAAACAATGAGTTGGGCAAGGTGCTTATTGGTAGACTACATCTTTAAAATATTTTTATTCCTTAGACACACAGATTTCGTCACAATGTTCCAGAACATGATAAATTAGCACTTAAAATTGGAATTAACATTAATTCATTTATTTCAGTGGTGTAGACAGAGATCAAATTTGCTCAAAAATATAAACATATTACTAATACTAATAAAAATATTATCTGAACTAAAGTTTTAGAATGATGATTGTTTTGCAATTTAAATTTTACATGATTATTACCTTAATTCTTTTACTTCGTTGGGAATCACTTGGTCATTATTTAGTTTATCTAACAAGCACAATTGAGTATGCTTGCAGTCTGTTTAGTACACATCATCTTGCCATTTTGATACATTTCCATGTGTTATTATGTGTTTTGACAGCAAAATTATTCCTCATACCTTTTTTTATGATGGCTGATCAAATATCACACTAAGTTTATTTGAACTGTATCATCTGAAATAAAAACATGATTGTTTGTCATTGTCATTCAGACATCCTTGATTTTGTAATTATTAACACTAGAGGTGTGCGATTGTGCATAAAATAATGTTGACAATTAATTATTTAAAATAATAGAATTCTTCATTTACTTCAGCCATTAACTTAAAATTTTAATAAATTATTATAAAAAGAATTTATTATTATGTTTCATTCATCATTCATTCATTGCAGACTATCATAAAGCTACTGGTAAACATAGGCCTTCATAGGTTATCGTATAAGGTGTACATTTTCCATAGTTGTAACACTTGGCAGACAAGTTGGCAACCAGTTTATTATTATTACTAAGTTGTTATCAAAGAGATCACTTGAAATGCCAGGAATTAAGTAGTTTTATTCAATGTACAGTACTCCCGTACATCTTTATTATAAATCTTTTAAATTTTATATGAATACTGAATATACTGAGCTGTTATGTTTATTAAGGAATAATTAAATGTACATACCTTTGTCATCTGTGATGATAAACCTAACTCAATTTACTCCAAAGATTAGTGTTGAGTTTATTCAACCTTTTTTAGGCTTAGCTTTCCATTGACGTCAGTGGAGTTTGGTGTTGATACGTATTTTTACAGAAAGATTACACTATTATAAGCACACACACAAAGTCTCAATATACGGAAACGCGTCATTTTTGAGAAAAGAATAATTGAAAATCAATTATTCTTGCAATGTTTATGTCATAGAATTATTACGCATAGAAACGCAGTCCAGTACAAAACACGAGCGTTAAAATGATGCAAAGTCATAATGTTAGTGGGCGCGAGTCGAATGTGCCTACGCTCGTCACACGCACACATACACGCCATTCAGTGATACCAGTGTCTGGCGTTTGCAATCAAATTGTGCAAATCACTATTTTTTGATTAATTTTAAAAAATCGATATAATAAAGATTACGTATTACGTACGAAGATATATTTTATGAGAATATAAAATGGAATAAAATAAACACGATAATGATGGTACTAATATAACTTAATTATACATATTTTAATGGTACAAAAATACAGACGTAATAAAATTTAAGAATATTATTAAACACAATTAATTTGCTCGAATACAATAAGCACATTGTGTAATATTTAATTTTAACCGACTTCAAAACAGGAGGAGGTTTTCAATTCGGTGTATTTTTTTAAAATGGTTTTTACCTCAGCATTCTACAATTTCTAAACCGATTTAGATTTTTTTATTTGAAAGGATGTACACACAGATTGATCCAATATACACGCTGAAATTTTAATGGTGGTTTTCCCGATGTCAAATTATTTTGTCTTGGTAGTAATTATTTTATTAAAATTAGGATGCAAAAATGGCAGATTTACAATCGAGAAAACAAAACTCGAATGCGATCTCAAAACAATAGCAATATCTCGCAAGTAGGTCGGGCGTGCAGGCTAGCTTATACCGTATTACTATAATAAAGTCTGAAAAAAAAATTCGCTGGATGTAACTTAGTGTTACGTCTATCGCACGCGCTACCGCGCGCTGCCTACACAGTGAAGGACCACTAATAAATGTTCAAAACATGAACTCTCAAGCGTAGTGATACGACATAAACTAGTAAATATAGAATTGTCTTAGAAATCAGTGTACATACATATTGATAACCTCTCCTTTTTGGGAGTCGGATAAAATAGACTATGTTTGGGTCTAAAATAACATCTGGTTAATGTTTGGGTGTAAAGTGACATCTGGTTAGTTAAGGCGTTCTTATTAATAATATCTTGATGTTGTAAATAGAAAAGTTTTTATTCTATACTCTAAAACGTAGACTTAGTCAATAAACAAAGCAATTAAAATAGTTGCGTTAAAATGGCGTCGGCGAATCGCGATTAGCTGCTCACTCCGTATTAGTTTTAAATAGGCACCCATTGTTAATATTATGTTAATACTTAGAGAAGTAGGATCTATATATAAACATTTGAGTTTTACAGAGAGCGTTGCGATTAAACGTTTTAAACACAAATAGAAAATAAATATTTTTAAAGGAAAATTGTGATTTTTCACCACAACTAGCAACATTTGTATTAGGATAGCTTAGGTAAGTATTTTTTTTAGTTTTACGTAGTTATAATGAATTAAATATATAAACTTGTATATGAAATGCAGTACCATCACTTCTTTTATGTTTATCATCACTGTTATGACAATCTTTTACAACAAAAACGGTCATTTTTACAATTTTTCGCGAGCTCTTCTCCGTAAGACATAACGTTGCGCACTGACGCGTCGCTGAGTGA